CTTAGCTACCAGGCACTTTGTTCTCCAAGCCCTGTTGTGAGTTAAGTTGTGGCAGTATGTTGTTCAATACCATTTTTTTCCTGTTTAGGGTGGGGGCCCATATAAAAAAAATGTCAATGGGGCCCTGTGATTGCTAGTTATGCCCCTGAAAAGAATACTAAAGAAGGAGAACAGAACACAGAAGTAGCAAAACAATCACCTCCATGAGCTGTGATCGCCTGCACCAAACATTCAGCTTCTTCACTGATCTTGTCTTCTATCGCTTTTTTCCCCATTCCGTAATCTCGGAGTGTTGAAATGGTGAATCTTCTCATTGCCTTCCAGCTCTCCCCATTAGAAAAAATAACACCTAAGTAGAAGAAATTTAATTTGTTTTTGTTTATTTTGTGTCCAAAATATAACCACCAGATAGAAATGCTGCCCAGAATACAGATCCAGGGCTGTTAATAGCAAATGGTGGATAGTGTTTGCTTCATCTTATCTTAGGACCTTAACTTTCCACTGCATGCAGGAAACATTATGAGGCTTATTCACTAATGAACTCACTTCGGCCGCCGGAGCACTTCACTATAGCCCATACAGCAGCCGAAGGCTTGGCTGAGCCATAGTGACAGGCGAAGTGTGGAGAAAGGTCGGCCGAAGCCGACTGATCTCCACGTAAATGACAGCTGGGCGGAGCCCGGCGTGATCTCACGGCTCGCTCCGCCCAGTTGTAATGACAGACCAGCATTCTCAAATGACCTGGGGACGCTGATCTGTCATTAAACAATAACAACTGGGCGGAGCAGGCCGTGACGTCAGTTATTTATTGCCTGGGACCTGCTAGAAGACTCTGACAGATGCTGGTCAGTAGGAAACATTTGGGCGGAGATAGCGGTAATGTCACCGCTAGCTCCACCCAATTGTTTTTATTTTGCCGGCACTGTCAGATGCTACATTATGTGGCGGGAGCGAATCGCATGTGGTCGGCTCAGTGTGCGTCGTTTTTTTTTTTTTTCTTCATTTTCCTATTTTTAAAAAAAATTTCAATAATTTTTAAACTATTTTTCATTAATTTAACTGTTTTTCTACCTCGGAGGTAGCGAGCAGAATAACCGAGCCAAATGCCGCTCTGCTACATTCAGCTATTCTCTTACTGCTGTTTGGCCCCTATGAGAATAGGGGCGAATGGCAGCGAGTGAGCTGCCGGAGCTTCTGCTCAGCCGATCCAGATGTTGGATTGGCTGAGTCGAACTCCTTTTGCCTTTCGGCTCAGCCCATCATGACCAAAGGCAGCCGATGTACGGCTGATTTTAGCCGATGTGCGGCTGAAATCAGCAGCACAAGCCAGAGGTGAATAGCCGAACAGCGTTCGGCTCACTTCACTTTGGCTCGGTTATTCACTCAGCTGCCTTCGGCAGCTAAGTGAATAACCCCCTATATCTCTAAACCACAGAAAAAAATGTAATATGCTAAGCTGTACTGTATCAATAGTAGACATGTGCACCAGCAAAAAATTCATAGGACCTTAGCAATGGGAATTCTGTTCTTTAACCTCTACACTATAGCCTCTGTACTTTAATCATAGATGTGTTGTAGAGGTAAAATGGTGTCAATGGTGCAAAGAAATTCGTCCAATAACGAATTTCGGGAAAACGGGAATTTCGGATTCGTTTGCATTCGTCTTAGCTGTAATTCGGAATTCGGATGCATCCGAATCTCCGAATTTCCGAAAATTCGTCCAAAACGAATTTCGGAACGAACCGAATCGCACATGTCTAATCAATAGAGACACACTTTTGTCACCCTAGTACAGGACTGTGGAGCACCTCTTACTCTCCTCTTCTCCACAGCATAGAGGGGTGTTCTGTAGTCCACCAATATAGTTGAGAACATTGCTGATAAGTGTGCAACACAGGACGTTATCAGCTCAATAGACCTCTGGCAATTGTTTGTCCTTACTGAACTGATTGCTAAAGAGAACATGTAAAATTATTTTGTATAAAGAAAAACATAGTTACCATTGTCTTTAGTTGATTTTGAAAATATTGGCAACCGTGGTCTGTTAGCAAATTCGTCACCCTGGGTAAGTAGAGCATCTCTAACAGTCTCATAGCCGCACAAGATGATGACTTTTCCCATTCCTAAATGAATAGTCAGTACTGTGCCATACGTCTTAGACATCTGCAAACACAACACATAATAGAAAACATAGTTAACAGTCTAACATTAGAATATCAGGGATCTCCTACTTCTATGTGCAAGCACATCTTTTATTCTTTGATGTTATACTTAAAGGAACACTCTGCTTTTAAAAAAACTATAGGTGCACCGAAATGGAAATTTCAAAACCTAATATAAAAAAAAATGTCAGACCGAAACCGAAAATGATTTTTATTTCACATTTTTTCAAATATTTTATTTTTATTTTTTTTTTTCAAACGTTTTATTTTTTTTATATTTGTTTTTATTTATTTCATAATTTTTTCTTAAATATTTTTATTTTGTACTTTACTTTTAGGGGCTTCGAGGACATATTGGGGGTCTAAACAAATCCCTGATATTTCCCTTTTAAAATAGAAAAAGAGATTGAGTCCTCAATCTCTTTTTCTGCAGCCCCTGTTATCAGTGAACAGGAATCCTTTATACTGAGTGTTCCTGGTCATTCATAACATGAGGACAGAGTATGTTTACTATAACCATAACTATGAATGGACAGGAGGGCATGTAGATCACTTCCCATTCATACATAATTGAGGATATAGTTAACATACCATGTCCTCAATTATGTACAAACACTCAGCGATCACTGATCGCTGAGTGTTTGCTCCCGCTCTCCTTCCTGATGTAAATCTATAAAAATGTTATTTCTAAATACCAATAACGTTATATTACACTAAGGCCCCATTCACACTGAGCGATTCGCAAATCGCGCGTTTGTCGCGCGATTTGCATTTTATCGTGCAAATGCTTGCATTGAGCAAACTAGAATCGCGGCAAAATCCGCTCCAAAAAGGGTCCTGCTGTAGCGATGCACGACCCGCGACAGCGACGGACAGAGCCCCATTGCCATGCATTGGAGAGCGATATCGCGCGGTAAATATCCAATTACCGCGCGATAAATCGCTCAGTGTGAATGGGGCCTAAACCTTTCAATCAACATCTACATTATTGCATTTTTTATTTTATAAAGCCAGTATAAGGCCCCATTCACACTGAGCGATTCGCAAATCGTGCGTTTGTCGCGCGATTTGCATTTTGTGCGATATCACGTGGTTTGTCGCGCGATATCGCGCAAATGCTTGCATTGAGCAACCTAGAATCGTGGCAAAATCCGCTCCAAAAAGGGTCCTGCTGTAGCGACGAACGACCCACGACAGCGACGGACAGAGCACCATTGACATGCATTGGAGAGTGATATCGCGTGGTAAATATCCGCGATATTGCGCGGATTACCACGCGATAAATTGCTCAGTGTGAATGGGGCCTCAAGGAAACAAAGTAGTAAAAAAAAAATGTGTGTTTAACTAATCCATAGTAATTCTTCAGGATCCACATAACTGGGGTGTGGTAAGGTTGTGCCCCTTGACTACATAAATTGGGGGAATTTATCATAGCAATTGCGAGTGTTTGAACTTGCACGGAATATATTTGCACCAGATTTATCAAGCGAGATTAATGTTGTTGATAAATGAGGTTTAATAGATTGCAGGAAGGAAGACTTGTAACTCCGGGCAAAAACCTTAACTGTCGCATCTTGAAGAAGTGGTCATGGGGACTTCTTAAGTTGTGATTGTTTTCTTAGGTGATGCTCCAGTTTCAGACAGCCGCAGAACATGTGCAGATGAAAACACGTGTAACAAAGGTGCAAAAAGCATGCAACTGAAAAAGTAGTGCAAGCTCTGAAGAAAACAGGTGCAAAACACGTCCAAAAAAACATGCAGTTGAAAAAGTAGTGTAAGCTCAGGTGAAAACAGGGGCACATGTTGAAAGACAGATTTGCACATTTAAAAAAATGATCTAAGAGGCTAAAACTGTCACAAGTGCATTGATAAATTTCCCCCATTGTGTTAAAAGGTGCCCCTCATTCCCATCCCAGAAATGGGAGCTGTGCCTTCCCATTATGAAGTCCTCTCCTTCAGAGAGAGCAAGCAAGAAGAACAAAAAAGTAGTCCTTCAGACAAGTTGAAGTCCTTCTCGACATGGTACTTCTCAAAGAGAAGTAATCTCGTTTTTTGGATTAATATCTACTGCCTCATCCTGGTATCTGGGATCCAGTTGGGATCCAGTGGCAGACATACTGTCCATGAATTTAGTTTGGTGCACAGTGTCCAAAGGGACAAGCAAGTCCATCAGAGAAGCTCTCAGTAAATCCCAACATTAGGAAGATGGTTTGGGATAGGCCCTTCTTCTTATGAGTAAACATTTGGGATGCTCTGTTCAGAGATAGGCTGCTAATCAGCATCATTAACTGTCTAAAGTCCAATTGTGGGGGACCAATTTGAGCTGAAAATATTTAGGATGTCATACCAATGTTGCTGGTGGTGCCAAAGAGGCTCAAACAGGCCCAAATGGGGAACTGCATGGTGGCATGCAGTGGAAAACATGAAGGTACAGTGGGTCCACTGTGAGTTCCTGGCAGAGACAGATTGGCCATGGGGTACTATGAGGTATGGACAGCACAGTGGCATAGTGGTTAGCGCTTCTGCTTTGCAGCACTGGGGGTCCCTGGTTTAAATCCAGGTCATTATCTGCAAGGAGTTTGCATGTTCTCCCAGTGCTTGCTTGGGTTTCCTCCGGGTGCTCCGGTTTCCTCCCACACTCCAAAGACATGCTAGTAGGTTAATTGGATCCTCTCTAAAAATTGGCCTTCTATGTATGTATGTATGTGAGCTAGGGGCCTTAGATTGTAAGCTCCTTGAGGGCAGGGACTGATGTGCAATTATGTAAAGTTCTGCCTAAATTGTCGGCGCTCCATAAATACCTGTAATAAATAAATAAATGGCAAGTGGACAGATATGAGGCAACAAACACAAAAGAGGGACCACATTATTTATGTAACCAAGAGCCCGGTGATGTCTATAGTCAGCATTGCAAGACATTTTCAACAGGTAGAATTAATCCCAATCAAATGCTCCATTTTAATACCTGTTTTGTTTTAAAAACACTTGTCTTAGACAGCAAGAGAATATCTGTGGATTTGGCAAGATGGCTGTTTTACCTCTAGAAATGTTTTGTAAGGTTGTTTCATATCAAGCATGTGCAGATTTCCGATGATGGGTAAAGGTTTGGGCCCAGGAGGTAAATTTTTGTCTTTATGTTTCTTTTGCTTGTTGTATACATTGGCCAAGAAGAGGATGACCACGACAGATAAAAGGATTGTGACAAGGTCCATGATGACCGTGCTTCCAATGATATCTAAGGAAAGGAAAACAAGAACATCAGTGTGTATAGAGAAAGGAAGAATTGGGGCCCCTTCAAAATTTTTTACTGCTGTCTGTGAATCTACACATGGACATGTATAGATGCGCCCTTTCTTTTTGTCCTGGTGACCACTGTCCTTAAAAAAAGAAAGTGATTGGAAATTCAAATAATTAGACATGTCACTAGAAGAAGAGATGAGGGTAAAGCTTCCAATGAGGGCACCTATTCCTGTCACATCTGTCAAAGAGAGGAATTCCCCAGCATTGGTGTCAGTGAACACAATGATCACCCCCAGCATTGGTGTAAGTGGCCACAATAATAACCCCTGGCATTGGTGTTAGTGACTGCAATAATAACCCTCAGCATTGGTGTTAGTGGCCACAATAATAACCCCTAGTATTGGTGTCAGTGACTGCAATAATACCCCCCAGCATTGGTGTTAGTGACTGCAATAATAACCCTCCGCATTAGGGTTAGTGGCCACAATAATAACCCCTAGTATTGGTGTCAGTGACTGCAATAATACCCCCCAGCATTGGTGTTAGTGACTGCAATAATAACCCTCCGCATTAGGGTTAGTGGCCACAATAATAACCCCTAGTATTGGTGTCAGTGACTGCAATAATACCCCCCAGCATTGGTGTTAGTGACTGCAATAATAACCCTCCGCATTAGGGTTAGTGGCCACAATAATAACCCCTAGTATTGGTGTCAGTGACTGCAATAATACCCCCCAGCATTGGTGTTAGTGACTGCAATAATAACCCTCCGCATTAGGGTTAGTGGCCACAATAATAACCCCTAGTATTGGTGTCAGTGACTGCAATAATACCCCCCAGCATTGGTGTTAGTGACTGCAATAATAACCCTCCGCATTAGGGTTAGTGGCCACAATAATAACCCCCAGCATTGGTGTTAGTGGCCACACTAATAACCCCTAGCATTGGTGTCAGTGACTGCAATAATAACCCCCAGGATTGGTGTCAGTGACTGCAATAATAACCCCCAGCATTGGTGTTTGTGGCCACAATAATAACCCCCAGCATTGGTGTCAGTGAATGCAATAATAACCCTCAGCATTGGCATTAGTGGCCACAATACTAACCCCTGGCATTGGTGTCAGTAGACCCAAAAATTACCCTCTGCATTGGTGTAGGCAGCCACGATAATAACCCACGCATTGGTGTCAGTGACTGTAATAATATCCCCCACCCCTCCCCCACATTAATGTCACTAGCTGCAATAACAACCTCCAGCATTGGTGTTAGTGGCCACAATAATAACCACTAGCATTGGTGTCAGTTACTGCAATAATAACCCTCAGCATTAGTGTTAGTGGCCACAATAATAACCCCCAGCATTGGTGTCAGTGACTGCAATAATAACCCCCAGCATTGGTGTCAGTGACTGCAATAATAACCCCCAGCATTGGTGTTAGTGGCCACACTAATAACCCCTAGTATTGGTGTCAGTGACTGCAATAATAACCCTCAGCATTGGCATTAGTGGCCACAATACTAACCCCTGGCATTGGTGTCAGTAGACCCCAAAATTACCCTCTGCATTGGTGTAGGCAGCCACGATAATAACCCACGCATTGGTGTCAGTGACTGTAATAATATCCCCCACCCCTCCCCCACATTAATGTCAGTAGCTGCAATAACAACCTCCAGCATTGGTGTTAGTGGCCCCAAATATAACCCTCAGCATTTGTATAAGCGGCCACGATACTAACCCGCAGCATTCGTGTCAGTAACCCCAATAATAATATCTATAAGATATAATAATAATAATCTCCAGTATTGGTACAGTCACTGCAATAATAGCGCTTGGCTTTAGTGAACTCAATAGTTACCCTCACATTGACTGTCAGCGACACTGTTATTAACACCCCCCCCCACCCCCCCCCCCCACACACACACACACACAC